GTTTACATTGAAGCTATGTACCAATCTTAACTTCCCATATTCCCTTCCATATTGTGAAGGGAAGTTCAGAGTGATCTGTCCAAGTGATTTGTTATAAGTTTTGTTTGTAATGAATATTTCTTATGGTGCTGACTGCTGTAGAGTTTCAATGGAGTATTAGGTGCGGTGGCTGAGATAAAGCAGGGTGTTCCTTAAGATGACAACCTTGATAGTTATACACGGTGTGGTTAAGTATAACTTCTACTTGCATGAGCAAAGATGTTTCCTGTTAGATAGCGATTTCCTCAAGTATAATCGTTCATATCACGATGACTATCATTCATTTGAAACAGGTGTCCCATGCTCTCGGCGACCCCTCATTTAATAACTGATACCAATACAACGTTCAAGTGCGTCTGTGCACGTAACAAATACAAGCATTGCTACCTTTACAAATGTAGTGGATATGAAAAGTTATCCGGGTAAACGTTGCTGAAATGAGAATTAGGCTCTGTCTTGTGCTTCAGTGATGCAGAAAAGTATGGAAACTGTAGATGTGACATAGTGTGTCCTGCCACTCCCCTTGACCTGCTTGGCTCTCTGCCACTGCAGGCTGATTTTGTCACCAGCTTTGTTCTCCACAAGTATAACCTGAGAACAGTAGTTTCCTTTTTGACATTCCATATTTTGGATGTGAGCTGAGATTATTAACTGAAATTAATTAATCCATACCTCAATTTCTAATCTGTATGCAGTGACAGATGACCAGATAATTTATAGATTGTGGTTTATGTCTTTAAGTTTACACACATGAAATGTTTGAGGGGTTTGTGTTGCAATCTTCAGTAAAACCTTAACCTTTGCGTAATGAATTAGGAATGAGTCTGTTTGGCTTGAAGCCACTTTACAGAGTATCCGAGTTAAATAATTGCATTTCAGTTTAATGTTGGACAAAAGCCTACAGTGAAATAGGTCTGGAAGATTAACCACCTTGGTGAAACCTACGAGCAGGGATTATGGTGTCATGAATTCAGATATCACCAACACTATCCATGTGGGGATACTATATAAGAACCAGTGTTTCCTTCCTTAAGCTGACACACATCCCACTGGGCAACCCTTTGACCACTTCAAAGTGAAAGTGTGAAAATATTCTTTGGGATCATGGCGTTATATGACGACTGATCTATATTTGAGCCTGAAATGTTCATATTTGTTACTTTTTGATAAGGAAATTGGTTTGGTGTCAATGAGAGTGGTTTTCATGAGTTGGTGTAATTGTATTAAATTTGTTTTTAGCATTGAAAATGTAAAGTTAAAAACTGAATTTATTCCAGGTGTTGGAAACACGTAGGTTTTCATATGATCACTGTGGGTAGTCAAGTGTGGTGGAAACTATTGATAACCTTGTGTATAGATATCGTATATCATCCATTATTAAGCTGTCATACCCCTGGAAGACCTTGTGAACAGGTGTTTAGATAATATGGACAAGTCAACATAAAAGATGTTCCAATCCTTTACCAAATGTTTTGTATATGAATCATTTCACGACACATATTGCTCCATTGACGATGGGGATTGGTGGCGTATCTCATAACTGTACTGAACTGCCTTCAAGGACTGGTTTATTGAGCAGTGAGCCGGAGGTGGGTGGTTTCATACCCAGCCCCGTCTTATGAAAAGGCTTTGAAAGATAGTACTTGTTGTTACTCTGCCTGGCGCTGGGCATTGACGGGATTAGACAAAAGACTGTTGGATCGAAGTCAGTACTATGTCGACGGTATTCATGATGTAACATGATGTCTGAGGTTGCAAGTATGATAGAATCTATATTGGTCCTGAGTTTTACCAGACGTTTAGACACACTGACACAGACACACACACTGACACAGACACACACAAACACACAGTGACACATACACAGACACACACAGTGACACATACACACTGACATACACACAGACACACTGACACAGACACAAACACATACACAGACACTGACACAGACACACACTGACACATACATTGACGCAAACACACAGACACACATCATACACACATGCAGACATACACAGACACAGACACAAACATGCAGATAGACACAGACACAGACACACACTGACTCACACACAGACACGCACGCACACGCAGACATACACAGACACTCACAGACAAACCTGCAGATAGACACAGACACACTGACATATGCATGTTACTATACAAGTGTTATCGTCCTGAGCACAACCTTAGCCCTATTCATCTCGCCACCTAACTGTACCGTAAACTGATTCACGATCATTATCTGAAGTATCTTGCAAGTCAAGCCTGTTTTTCCCCTTTCTCAGCCTGAAGTGTATAAAAATTTATGATCGCTTCTATGATCATTTTATTGCCTATTGGTGATGTGAATGGTGAATTATTTGTTGCGCTAGGCAATGATAAAGCACAGAAGCTCTCTGCCCCTGTAACCTCCTTTCTCCAGAACAGTGAGATTTCTATGGGGATACTTAAGAACATCAACTTAGTGCTTAACCTTTGAAGGGAGCTATCATGTCACAATAAATGTACCTTTCTTCCCCCGAAAAACAGGACAAAAAGCCGGGAGAGACTTCTTTGTTGATGTCCTAAGGGACCATGTCGCAATTTTTGGAAGCAATTTCTGTAAAAATTGTCATGTTGAAAAGAAAAAAATTGTCTGTGGAGGTCTCCAGTGACTGTCCTTTGAAGTAGGTGAACTGAACATAGGGGAAATTGTCTGTGATTTCTTGCCTTTTTTGCAGTCTTTTGACTAAATATTCTGAGGCTAGTTGACACACCTTGAAGGATACCAGCCAAGCTGTTTTCTTAGACAGATCTGAGATTTGTTAAATCATTATACATCATACTCCAAAAAAGAGAGTTGACAAAATGTTAAAAGTTTGTTAACATTTTTGTTTGAATCTCCAAGGCAACAGTTAAATTACAACTAAAAATATGCTATTGAGATGAAATGAGTATCTTCAATGCTATTATGTTAGCTTTTGACTCATATCATGTGGGTTTTTTTGCGCTTCATTTTGAGGGTGTTCTACTTACTTGATTAAAATGTAATATGACAACTAGTGTCAAGGAAAACAGTTTTTATTTGACATCAAACTTGCCCTTCTTTTCTGAGGGTGCATGTGACTAGGCTGTGCATTCACGCCACAGCCACTCACCAGGACAAAGCCAGGTGTAGTTCAACACTACGGGCAGGCTCAACAAGGGTGTTTTAGCTTTAAAAATAAAGCTAGAAAAATAATTGGGGCTCGTCACAGTGTTGCCTCAATCTAACACTTGATGTTTAGAGACTGGTGTGTTTGCCCGCTGTGTCGTCAAGATAAGAAGTTGAAAGCAAAGTAAATAGAGGACTTTGTTGCCAACTTGGGCTGGGTTTTGATAGTTTGTACAGCGAATACTCTCAGCCTCCATAGATCCCTTGCCTCTCTTTTCGCACAAATCCGCACACTTTTTGCTGTTCTAACGAGGTGTAATTTCTGCCCAGCCTGCTTTTCTCATTGTTTGAATGGCTTCCTCTTCGAAAAGGTCATGTGTGGTTTGTCTTGTTCTGTTATTACCTGCACAAAAGTTGGATACAACTCCTCTCCCCCTGCCTTCTCTTCTCCCCCTTTCCCCTTTCCTCCTCTTGCCTTCCCCCTCCTTCAGCCGCCGCTTCTGATCTCTGACAAGCTCAGGCAGCCTTGATTTCTTTGGGGGCTCAGGTAGCCCAGTAGTCTATGGCCGTCACAGAGTTACATGCCAGGAAACTAAGATCCTGCGTTCGAATCCCTGTTTTCCCTAATAATATTTGTAGGTTTGTTACCATCATAGCCGTGCTCCTAGGTTTCACCAAAGTGGTAATGTCCAAGAACTTCATCGCTTTGGCCTTTCCACCAATATATATCTGATATATTGTATCTGGAAGGTGTTAAAGCCAAGTCAGTCACTCACTTGATTTCTTTGTGATGTTAGATTGATCACTTGGATACTTTGAAATTAAGGAGTTTTATGATGCAGTACACAATATATGTTCATTGTATGTTTCTTAAAGTTAAATTGTAAACTGATGGTGGTGTATGTTTTATTGTTTGGGATTTTATTGGATTGATCTTCAGAAAAAATATAAAGAATTCTTTTTCATTTTTGAAAGGTGTGTTAAGGTGTGTTTTTTTATACAGTACAGCCGTGCAAACTTTTTGAAATATTAAAAATTGAAAAATTGATGAGCGTTTTTAAGAAATCTGAAGCTATGCTTTGGCGTTTCAAAAATTTAGAAAGTACTTCTGCTGCTTTACATCTGAAACTGAAATTGGGTAAATAATGGTACTCTTTGGGGCAAACTTGAATTCCAGAAGGTGCAGCGAAACATCTTTTGGGTCTGTTTGTATTCCTGTACATAGATGGATTACATACATATACTTACTGATAATTGTGATGAATGTATTTGGATCTGATCTTTCTCATTTTGAGTTTGAAAATAGCAAAATCTGCACCCTTGAAAGGTATGCTTATTATATCAGAAACAAAATATGCTTTTGTGGTGTCATTTTAGACAGTGGGCACGAAGCTGGATTTAAAAAACAATATTGCTTATAGTAAGAGAGGCAACCGAGTTGAAAAGTGTGGACTGGCTTGGTGACTTTGATGTTTGCATTTCACCTTTCCCTCATGGTTGCATATGTTCTGGGAATATTGCTGAAATTCCATCATGCAGTGTACCACACCTCTTCACATTATGCCATATAAGATATATCTCCTCCACAATACATTATTGCCATGGGAGGGAAGGTGGGGTAGCCTAATGGTTAAAGCGTTGGCTCGTCTCAGCAAAGACCAGGGTTTGATTCCCCACATGGATACAATGTGTGAAGCCCGTTTCTGGTGAAACTCGCCATGATATTGCTGGGATTTTGCTAAAAGCAGCCTAAAACCATGCTCACTCACTCGTTGCCATGGTGTTCTGGCAGAGCCACACTCTAATCCATCTTTTCCTGTTGCAGTGTAAGGGGGACCTAGTGCCACACCATGTGCCGAAGACGATAGCATGCTGTGACAGCGGAGACGACTGCAACTGGGAACTGACACCCAAAGTGGTGGAGCGAAGCACAACACCTGTACCAGGTAAGACAACGCCTACCTAGCACAACATGGGGACCAGATAAATGTGTTAATTACCCTCCTAGCACAACACCTGTACCAGGTAAGACAACGCCTACCTAGCACAACATGGGGACCAGATAAATGTGTTAATTACTCTCCTAGCACAACACTGTACCATGTAAGACAATGCCCTCCAAGCACATCACCAGTACCAGGTAAAGTCTTAATTACACAACACAAGTATCAGTGAATGTGTTACTTACTCTTCTAGCTCAACTCCTGTGCCACAGAAAGTGTAAGTTACTCTCCATGCTCAACCGGCAAACCCCAGTGGCATGGACCATTGGTAATTGCCCCAAGTTCCAATCTCAATTATTTAGTGTTTCTCAGTTATTTACAGACACCAGGTATGCCTACACCTTTCTTTCTTTGTCCGTTCATTCCACTAATGCCTGTATTACTTTCAGCCAGAGTGCATGAGTTAACCTTAAACTATAAAACCTTTGTGGACCAAGTTGTATGATCTCTGTCAGGAAGGACTTTGAATCAGGGCCAAGTCTTAATGCTGTGTTCAGTGAAATGACAGGGACATAAATAAATGGGGTTTATGGTGGTATCAGTGAGGTCACAAGTGTAGAATCTGTGTGCCCCTGTACTATCAGTGACAGCTGAATGAAGCAGTTGACACACCTGGTACCAGTGACAGCTCAATGAAGCAGTGGACCATTGCACAGTCTTGCAGGAGATCCTGGTGCCCCATCTGTCAAGTGACAGCTCAGTGAAGCCGTGGACACATGGCACAGTCTTACAAAACATCCTCGTGCCCCACCTGTCCCCGCCCATGTGTCCTTGGGGTTCATGGTCACAAGTACAGAATCTGTGTGTGATCCGTACTATCAATGACAGCTCAATGAAGCAGTGGACACATAGCATAGTCTTACAGAAGATCCTCGTGCCCCACCTGTCCAATGACAGCTCAATGAAGCAGTGGACCATGACGCAGTCTTGCAGGGGATCCTGGTGCCCCACCTGTCCAGTGACAGGTCAATGAAGCAGTGGACACACAGCATAGTCTCACAGGAGATCCTTGTGCCCCACCTGTCCAGTGACAGGTCAATGAAGCAGTGGACACATGGCACAGTCTTGCAGGAGATCCTGGTGCCCCACCTGTGCAGTGACAGGTCAATGAAGCAGTGGACACACAGCATAGTCTCACAGGAGATCCTTGTGCCCCACCTGTGCAGTGACAGCTCAATGAAGCAGTGGACCATGGCACAGTCTTACAGAAGATCCTGGTGACCGATCTGTCCCTACTCGTGTGCACCACCTGTCACTAGTGCTTCTGCAGTTCCGTCACTGGTAAACGTCCTGTGAATGTCTGGTTTTGTGTGTTGCAGAGTACGAGGTGCCCAAGAAGTATGAAAACATCACCCACATTGCGCTGCTGATATCAGTGACTGTGTGTTTTGTGATCCTCATCATCACCGTCACCTTTGTGTACCTCAGGTAGGTGGCCAACATATCTCGTGTCTGGTTGTTTCTTCCTCTGTCATGTCTCCAGTGAATAATTGTTACTACTTCTGTAGCTTGTGATGTCTGTTGTTGCCGATTATGTTCTCCAGTTCTCCATGTGGCTGAGTAGTACTTAGTGCTCGTAAGAGGCAGCCAACATGAAAATCAGGTGTTCATTATCACTCCTGTTTATGAGAGTAGTCTCCCAGGAAGCTCTACTGTGTGATCTAGCTAAAACTTTGCCAGTGGAATTCAGTGGCTCAGGTTGTTGACACTGTCAGACTTAAAGCTTTTATTGCCCAAAATTAAGAATAAAGGTCAATTTGTTAAAACATTACTTATTGGGGATATCCTTCGATTCAAATACTAGGTGAGGTGAGGTGAAATTGGATTTAACATCGTGCTTGAGAGTATTTCACTCATATGGCGACGTGCATGCGTGTGTATGTGCGGCTGCTTGTACTAGCCCAGACTTAAGCTGGTTTTATAGTGCTAGCCCACTGAGATACCATGCCACAGTGAAGCATGAATACCCCTCTCAGACACATTATACTGACTCCGAGCCGACCAGCCCTTGTTGTACCCATTAATGCTGAGCGCCAGGCAGGGACCAACAAGTACCATATTTTAATGTCTTTTGGTATGACGCGGTCGGGGATTGAACCCACGACCTTCTGCTCTCCGGGCGGACGCTTCAACCACTACACCACGGAGGCGGTATTCAAATACTAAAGTGGACAATCAAATCCTCCTCAATATTGAACACATATGTTGATGCACAATGATCCTTTCCATCAGATGATGCATCTTATTAAAACAATACATGTATGAATAGTATTCAAAAGAAGTTAAGGATGACCAGGTTCTTTCATATTGTTGAATTAGAGTGTCCTAGCGCAACACCTGTGGGCATGGTAACTGTGTGAGATCTGCATTACTTGGGGATTATCTTCCACCTTTAGGTGAAAAGCTGTAACATAACTGGAATGTTGCTGACAGCAGTATAAAACACAACTTACTCACTCACTCACTCACTCAATCTTGTCTGTGTTGATACTGGTGTAATAATAAAGATTATAATGGCTGATGATGCTGTGTAGGTATCGTAAGCGTGAGCTTGAGAGAGAGCAGATCCTGGAAGAAGCAGAGAACGAGACGTTCATTGGGACAGGAGAGACACTACACGACCTCATAGAGCAGTCCCAGTCTTCTGGCAGTGGCTCAGGGCTTCCATTACTGGTAAGAGGATCTTTTGTTGCAAGGAACATTAGGCTTGTAGCTGTATTGATGGACCATCAACAGTAATATTTTATACAAACACATTGCCAGTAAGCATTATCTGTTTACAGTTGCTTCTGCACTGCAATGATCATTAAGTTTATGTGTCTAGCAGAACTTTACTGTTGCAATGTTGATTTGCTCAACAGAATCCAAAGGTTTCATTGTTGAGGTGTTCTGCAGTACAAGACAGCTCCAGTGTTGATGAGTTCATCATTACTGAACAGTTATGCAATATAGAACAAACTTTATGGATAACATCTTCTTTTTATTCGTGAGTGCGACGTTTCGATACAGATTCTTGTACCGTTGTCAAGCATGACAGCGGTACAAGAATCTGTATCGAAACGTCGCACTCACGAATAAAAAGAAGTTGTTATCCATAAAGTTTGTTCTATATTGTACTTCCCAACTTCTAAAATGCCACTCAAAGAAGTGAACAGTTATGGTTTTGATGTGTTCAACAGTACTGAACAGTTACAGTGTTGATGTGTTTAACAGCACAGAATAGTTGTATTTTTGTGTTCATCATTACTGAACAGTTACAGTGTTGATGTCTTCATCATTACTAAACAGTATCGTGTTGATGTGTTCATCATTACTGAACAGTTATGGTTTTGATGTGTTCAACAGCACAGAATAGTTGTATTGTTGTGTTCATCATTAATGAACAGTTACAGTGTTTATGTGTTCATCATTACTGAACAGTTGTATTGCTGTGTTCATCATTACTGAACAGTTACCATGTTGATGTTTTCATCATTACTAAACAGTTACCGCGTTGATGTGTTCATCATTACTGAACAGTTACGGTGTTGATGTGTTCATCATTACTGAACAGATGTATTGCTGTGTTCATCATTACTGAACAGTTACCATGTTGATGTCTTCATTACTAAACAGTTACTGTGTTGATGTGTTCATCATTACTGAACAGTTGCGGTGTTGATGTGTTCAACAGTACTGAACAGTTGTATTGCTCTGTTCATCATTACTGAATAGTTACAGTGTTGATGTCTTCATCATTACTGAACAGTTACCGTGTTGATGTGTTCATCATTACTGAACAGTTACCGTGTTGATGTGTTCATCATTACTGAACAGTTACGGTGTTGATGTGTTCAACAGTACTGAACAGTTGTATTGCTCTGTTCATCATTACTGAACAGTTACAGTGTTGATGTGTTCATCATTACTGAACAGTTACCGTGTTGATGTCTTCATCATTACTGAACAGTTACGGTGTTGATGTGTTCATCATTATTGAACAGTTAAGGTGTTGATATGTAAGCAGTACTGAACAGTTCAGCAGATTCAACAGCATCTGCCTGTTTTTCTTCTGAGTTCAGAACCTACAATCAACCTATGTTTATGTATTACATTTGTTGATAATAGTACGACTGTTAAGTGGTTAGGATTAGCTCAGTGTCTGCTTCACACCCGCATTGTGACATTCTGTTTTTCTAATCCTATAAATTGCTGGAAATTGAGCTAGGCCTAGTGTACAAAGCACATGAAAGAAAATAGTGTGAGTTCATTGCCGTTGAAGTTTTTTCTGAACTCTTTTTTTTTTAGCAGCAATAACAATGGGGAAGTAGAGTTGTGAAACCTTAAATTCTATTTTCAATTCAGTTTTGAACCAGCGGAAGATTGGCTTCCCCTCAAAGCTCATTCCTCAAGCAGAAGTAACATATCACCTTACCTCTCAACTCATTAAGGAAACACTTATCCGACTGTAGTTTTTACCAGCAATGTCATTATTCATAGCATTGTAAGACGGTAAATATCAGCTAACTGCAAAAACACCACTCCCTGAACAAATGAGGATATAGATAGGCTCTGGTATTGACAACTTCTTGTTCATGTCGTTAGCGCCTGACCCAAGTTAGTTTTATCAATAAAACCATGTCATCGGTTTCATAATTGGCACTGATGAATATTCAAAGGTTATGATAAGGTCTGTGTCCTGGTGATCTCAAGTCTGCCGATAGGTGTTAGTGTTTTTCTATATTGTGGCTGTGAACGTGTCTCTAATGTTGTGGATGTTTTGTGAAGTGCAAGTGTATCCGACTTCATCATACACTGTGACAAGATAGAGCACATGTCGCTCTGTCACTGTGACTGACACCAGGGATTAACGTACGTAATGCTACGTTGTCAAAGAAACAGATCACTTCTCAGAATATGCTGGAAATACTCTTTTGTGACATATATATGTTTTTTATAATCCTATCTCCCAAAAGAAAAAAAGATATGCACTTACCATACCATAAAAGTTTGGGTTCGTGTGAATCTTGAACGACAATGTTTGAATTTAAAATGATTTTAAACTTTTGTCATAAGCATTATGATTAAGTTCTCGCTTTGCCAAATAGGGACTGAAAGGGATCAGATGTAACCAATCAAAAGTCAACAGCGTAGGATATAATAGCTTTAGGTGTAATAGCTGACAAAATATTAGTGTGCAGGCACATGCACAGCCACCTGCTTGGAACGCATGATGCGTGATGCAAAGATGCTGAGGACCCCATTTCGTCTATAGCAGAGTTAAAACCAGTGGTTTATGTAACAATTGTAGAAAACAGGTAGTTCCTCTAGACTTAAATCTGTCTCATAACTAGTGGACTTTTCTAATCATGTTAGTCCTTATTACATTATCAAACGTGAGTTTGCAAGAATGGCGTCATGAATAATAAGCTGATGTCATCTTAGCAACAACAAGTACTATTTCCAATTAAGAATCAGAGCACTATATTAATAATTTGATTTCTAGGTTCAACGAACAATTGCCAAGCAGATTCACCTGATCAAGAGTATAGGCAAGGGGCGTTACGGTGAAGTATGGAAGGGCAAATGGCGAGGCGAGAATGTTGCTGTCAAGATCTTCTTCACCACAGAAGAGCAGAGCTGGTTCCGTGAAACAGAGCTTTACCAAACAGTCCTCCTAAGACATGACAACATACTTGGTAAGTGTTCCCTACCCTCTGTTAGATACTTCAATTTGATGCTGTTATGAGATACTGATATTTCATTCATTTTCTTGACTATTGTTTGGAAATGTGATTTTTCATTATGGGGATTCTGGACCAGGGAAGGTACCCGTGACCAAATGCTTGTTGTGAGAACCATTTTAATTTGGACCTGGGCAACCATTGGCCAGAATTTGCCTGTTACTATTCAACAAGAATATTCTGGTTCTGACAGAGCAGCCAATTGGGAATTTTTGGTTTGCCCCTAGTATCTCTGATTCTCAGGATGGTCAGGAGTGGCGGCTAATGAGGATTAAGCAGATGCAATCTGTCAAGTAGTGTATTATGGAGCATTGAGCAGCAGTGGTAAATAGTGTGGACATGCTTTCAACAACCCATTGGACTGGAACAAGATCTCGTTCACATTCTCCCTCAGTGTGGCTGAATTATTTCAGATAATGGTGTACAGCAACATTGGATTCATAACCACTTTCTCTCAGTTTTGCTGACGAGTCTGTTCTCAGATTCAATGTATTAGGTAAGGCCAGTGGTCAGTGTGTTCACTCCGCTGACCAGTTCCTTTCTCCTGTGTTGGAAGCAGACAGGTCTTGTCCTCAGTGCTGGTCAAGATTGGCCCAAACTCTCCTTGTTTCCTTATATCCTATTCTGTGAGACCATAGTTCTACTTCTGCTTTTGTGGAAATACTGTCATCAACAGGTGCTTCTTGCAGTGAGTGCAAGCACACATCTTCTGTTCTACCCTTCATCTTGTCTGAAACCAAACCAAACAGAAAATACCATAGGTCAAGCGACAATGTCTTGGACATGGAAAAAACAACACTTTTTCGTCATTGGGTAACATTTTAAATGATATCTTTATCTTCTGTGACGTGAATCTGTGTACTCTGTCATGATTACTGCAACACTCAGATTACAAAGCAGGTCATACAAAATCATATGGTGATATTTTATCACACCCTGTCAGGCTGATGCAGACTCAAGTACACTTGAGAAAATTTGTCTAAACAGAAATCTTCCCCTCGCTGTGATAGGATCTTTGTGATCTGACACAATAGCTTCATGGACTTTGTTACTATCACATTGGCCTGCATAACATTTCGTGATGGAGAAATCACTTGAAATTCTCAAGAATCCACAGATTAAAGTGATAAAGACTAATCCATGTCATGGCTCATCATATATTGTTCACTATTAATTTTAGTGACATAGCTACGTGAGTTCCATTGTTGAAATTCATGTTTAGAATGTTCGGTGAATTTATAGCCCAGGATTAATTGCTGTAATATCATGACATCGTTGTAATGATTCAAATTTTGAGATTGGATCTGAAAACTAGTCCCAATCATGAAATGTTGTATTTCACTAATATGAAAGTAATTCCTTTGACTGAATATCATTGAAATGTTAGTGGGGATGGATTTTCTGTGGTTCAATCAGTGTCATTTTCAAAGTTTTAACCAATTATTGAATCCATTCAGTATGTTAACATGAAAAACTCAATACATTGTACATAGATATTTTTTTAAATTATATATATCGTTCCTTTAAATACCTAACCTCTATAACATCATAACAATAAATTCTTGATTGGCTATAGTCACACTATCCATTAACTAATTTTTACTAAATGTCATATTGTACCGTTTTTGTAATTTTAAAATTAAAATGCAATTAAAGTAATACCGGTTTTGGAACAAAATACAGTGTAATTTTTTACTTTTCCAAATTTTACTAAAATTTGAGTTATTATGCTGTATCAAGGATAGATTAAGAAAAAGTGTGTTTGTCATGGGGAAGCCCAATGTGTTATGCCTTTCCTTCCCACTGACTGTCAGCTGCAGCTTATATACATCATAGAGATGGGAGGTGGACATTGATTCCAATCACAGTCGCTACAAGTGCCCCACATCAAATTACCAGAACCGACACCATAGATGTACAATCTGATTAGCAGGCTATTTTGTCCTTTGTTTTTGTCACATGTTTAGCTTCCGAGTCTCACAAAAAGTAATAGAAGTCGCGAGCTCTCTAAGTAGATTTGGAGAAAAAACGCAAGCGTCTTTGACACTGGAGCTGTAGCTGCATGCAGGAAGGCAGATACTCTGATCTGATGTACACACATCTGTGTTGTACAGTGGAACCATCAAAGCCTTCCCTCAACACCCTCGCTGAATATATTTGCGTTAATTTGATTGGATTTGAGAACTATGGAAGAGAATTCTTGACCTTTGAATACTGAAGAATAACATGCATTGACAAAGTCGAGCTATTCTATGAGTGACAGGCACTATCTGTGATACGCAAGCGAAACGCGATTTCCTGCTGAGTCCGTCACGTTCTGTGACAGCTGTCAAAGATTCAGCGCTTTTGCCTTAATAAGGCTGTTTGTTCTGGCATGCAATCTGTTTTGCATTGTGCACTGTCTCAAAAACCTGCACGATTGCTTCCCAAGATCTTAAGTATGTTACAAATTTTCCTGATTTTACTTTGTAAGTCGATGATTCTGATGCATGCCTTTGTCATACCCTGCGGAGTTGGAAGGGAGAAGCATTGGAGTAGGTGTGGTGTGAAATTGACATCAGTAACAGCTGTTGGTGCACAACTATATACAACGCAAAATAAGTTAGAGACTGTTTTATGTTATGATAGCAGTTAATCTATTGTGGCATTACATATATACTCCTCCGAAAAACTTAAAGAACACCCAAGTCTTTCAGAGGATTATAGTTGATATAGTATGGCAAATTAACCTTCGTATAGTTAAAGTAGTATAACAAATTAACAATCGTATAGTTAATCTAGTATGAGAAATTAACAATTGTATAGTTAATAAAGTATGACAAGAATTGTACAGTTAAAATAGTATGACAAATTAACCTTTGTACAGTTCATAAAGTATGGCAAATTAACCTTTGTACAGTTCATATAGTTTGACAATTTAACTTTGTACAGTTCATATAGTATGGAGACCGCCTCTATGGTGTAGTGGTTAGAGCGTCCGCCCGGAGAGCGGAAGGTCGTGGGTTCGATCCCCGACCGCGTCATACCAAAAGATGTTAAAATATGGTACTTGTTGGTCCCTGCCTGGCGCTCAGCATTAATGGGTACAACAAGGACTGGTCGGCTCGGAGTTAGTATAATGTGTCTTAGTGGGGTATTCATGCTTCACTGCGGCATGGTATCTCAGTGGGTTAGCACTATAAAATGAGCTTAAGTCTGGGCTAGAACAAGCGGCCGCACATACACATGCACACGCATGCACGTCGTCACATCAGCGAAATATTCTCAAGTACGACGTTAAACCCAATTTCACCTCACCTCATATAGTATGGCAAATTTACCATCGTATAGTTAATGTAGTATGACAAAAATTATGTAGTTAAAATAGTATGACAAATGAACTTTTGTACAGTTCATATTTTATGACAAATTAACCTTTGTACTGTTCATGTAGTATGGCAAATTAACTTTGTACAGTTCATATAGAATGGCAAATTAACTTTGTACAGTTCATATAGTATGGCAAATTAACCATAATGATATGCCATATTCTTTAACTTTAAGTGGAAGCTGTGATGGCTGAGCAGGTTAGGTATCTGACTTTGTTTGCTGGCGATTAGGTGCCTGACTCTGAGGGTGTGGGTTCGAATCCCAGAAGGGAGTCAACCCAACAAAAAAAAAGTACTAGAATCCGTACTTCACTAAGAAAGTGTAATCACAAATATAACATGTTACATCATATAATTGATATAGTATGACAAATGAACCATCATAATATGCCGTATTCTTTAATTTCTTTTGAGTGGTCCATTACTTGTTCCATTTTGTCCTGATGGTTAAAGCGTCCGCTCGTCACGCCGAAGACCCGGGTTCAATTCCCCACATGGGTACAATGTGTGAAGCTCATTTCTGGTGTCCCCCGCCGTGATATTGCTGGAATATTGCTAAAAGCGGCGTAAAACCAAAACTCACTCACTCACTCACTCCATTTTGTCACTACTTCTCATTGGATCTGTATAATCAAGGTGTGTTAACTTCATTCACAAGTACGAAGACTTATTTTAAGTGTCTGAAGTTTGTCGCTGAAAATAACAAGTGCCAGCAAGTGTCAAGTACACTGAGTTCTAATGTAAATTGCTCAGTTACAAGGTTATCTGAAAGTCTTTCATGTATATCCCTTGTCTAAAACATGTGGTACATCTCTATATATATTTCTATATATATATACAGTGTGACATGTGAACCCCTTCCTCTATAATAGGTATCGAATCATCACAGACAGACTCTGGTAAATGCATTGTGCTCTAATAATGGTAGCAGCTGTATTCAAGGGTTATAAGAAGTTCCTTTCCATCTGATGCTCAGGTCACATGTGCAGCCATCTAACTTGGATTGGGTCCAAACCAATACAGACATTGAAATAGTTCTTTTCTGAGATTGTGTTGAAAGGGGTGAAACCAATACTGTAATGAACTTCTTCACTTCTGAGATTGTTGGAGGGTATGCACAAAGGGGCAGTAACTTATTCAGATGTATGGAATTAATGAGGAAACCACTTAGACTGATATGGAAATAGAGCATGTGGTGTTGGATATGCTACTTGTCGAAAGGTAAGTTGTGTCAAGAGAGGGAGATGATGTTTTGTGGAATATATTCATTACATGCGATGAAAACTGAATGAAAAGAGTCCATTAATTTGGATTGGGTTGAATGGATAATATTTCAATAATAGTCTAGTTATTGTGAACATTTACCTGTGTTGCAAGTGATGCTATATAAGCAATTCAGAGGTGGAACTGTGAATATCTTAGAGAAGGACAGTGTAATCATGGCGCATGTGAATATAGCAGTGTTGATATTACCACAATGTATTGAACAATACTTAACTTGGCACACATGTGAATGGGGATAGTGTTTACAATTCGGATGTGAATTGAGCAATGCTTTATGGAACATGAGTATAGAGCAATGTTTAC